CAGCAGGCAGAGAAGCGAAAAACAATAGTAAAAACCTAAGCAGAATTACACTAGAAAGCACAAAAAAATGGCTAGGAAAGGCCAGCAGTCCCCGTTAGGCACCAAACACCCRCCACGATCGCTCTAACTGGGAAGAGCTTTTATAATTGCATGGAAATCCCGGAGCCAAACGGGAGCAGCACCGGGAAGCTCAGTAGAGCTGTCCCCAGTGAGGGAAGCCCCAGGAGCAGAGGATGCTCCAAGGGGGAAAGCCCTTTTCCTTGGTTATATTTAATGGGCAAGCAAGGAAGGATCTGGCACGGGACATGTACAGGAATGAGCGTGCGAGGGGAAAAAGGCAGCTAGAAAGCGAGGTGGCCACAGCCTGAACGCACCAGCAGTGGGAACTCACTTGGACTCTCCCAYTGGGAATGTTTTTAGCAGGAGTGTCTCCCTACACTTCTCCATGCTCGGCAGCAGGTTCTGCTCCGATACCTGGGTGTATTTTCCTGGCATCTCCCTGGTTTAATCGTGCATCTGCTCACACGTGCAGCACGAGGGAGGCTAAGCACCTTCCGGCACGCAGCATTTCATGGGGTTTCCTCTTCCAACGGGGCACTTTCCCAGTGCCTGCTTTTCCCTTGCTTCCCTCCAATGGCTACCTATGGCCTTCCTGAAATTTGCCTAGGACACAGAGAGTCCTTTAACTCACCAGCCTCTGAGCTGCCCACTTGCAGTTCATAGAGAGCAACAGAAAAACACCCAGCCAGGCCACTGGACTCATTGCAAAAAGGCACCAGCCTCCTACTCAGCCTTCCCTATCTGTTTCCCAAGTGTCTTTTTGATAATGACCAAGTTTTACAACACGATGAGAMAGATGCCAAGGGCTACCCACACTATGCTGTCTGCACAGAGAAGGGGACACAGATAACAGCAGGAATGGGATCACAACAACAGCCAATTTTTTCCAATTCTGCAACTAAGACACCGAGCAGCCCTGCTCCAAGTGAATACCTTGCATCTCGTAGCCATCATCTCGAAAAATAAAACAGAAATTCACCTTTGGTGCTTCTCCAAAGAAGCTTCTGGAGGATGAGCCTCATGAAGAGGCTATGTTTCATCTACATGTATATACGTATATACTGATGTCAGGGCACCTACTAAAGCACCTGAGCACTGGAGCTTGGCAGGCAGAGGGCAGCGGGGCAGACCCGGAGCTCTCTCCATCCGCATTCGCATCTGATCCGACGCCGAATTCCCCTTCCCATCAGCGGGCCGGGAGCTACCTCCTGCCTCCGTTTATCCTCTCGCTTTTTCACATCTGCTCGGTGGAAACAGAGTTGAAGGACATAACAGGAGCGGGGGGAAAAAGGAGGGGGGGGGGGGAAAAAGGATTATTATTTCCATTATTTCCATATGGGTTTGAAAAGGTGACGGCTTTCAGTGCAAATACCACACGAGCAAGGGCTCGCCCGGGCCCTGYGAGCGCTCGGCCGCTCTTCCTCCCCACGTCTCCTTGTGGTTCCCTGTTCTGCAGGGAGACTCTTTCACCACAGCATTTTCCATCTGGAAACAAGCCCCCGGATACCTGGGAGGAACCTGGCATTATCCTCCGGGAAAAGCTGTCAGCAGCAGCAAGAAGCTTCCCGAAGGCAAACCCGGAGCAGGCACCTGCCATATCGAATCCTCAGGTTATGGATTTGCCTCAAAAACACAGACAATATATTCTTTTTYTTCACTTAAACATTCAAAATGATTATACAAACTCTAAAATATATATCTCTKGCCTTTATCAGAGCCTCCTTAGATAACCTTAACCTGTCAGCAGAATTTCGTATGCATATATATTAAAAAAAAAATAGAAAAGAAAGGAATGGGAGCTAGGAGGGGTCTGGGGCTGCCGGAGGATGGGGGTCTGGGATTTGGGCACGACTTGGACGGCGGTGTCAGGCCGAGGGCAGCCAAGGAGCCGGGCAGCTCCCCAGCCCTGCCGCCAACCACGGCGGAACCCTCCTCTGCCACCGCCTTTCCCATGGGATCCCATCCTTTCCCCACCACGTACGGCCCCGTCATGTCCCGCGAGCTGAAAGCAAATAGGCCTAGGCCCCAAAGAGGGTTTAACAGGGCCCAAAGAGGGTTTAACTGGGCTCTTCTCCCAGCTGCAGCGAAGCAACCATCAGGAGCAACTGCTAAAGGCCCCGTAAAACAAGGAGACGGTCGTGGCTCCGCTTGGCACCGCTCCCTCGTGTCCCATGGTGGAAGATACAGGATTTATCCCAAGGAACATCCCTGGGTTTCAGGGCTCTAACCGGCCACACAAAAAGCAGGCCCGGCCTCTGGTTGCCCTGTAGTTAAACTCTGGGTTTTACGACGCAGCCRGGTGGGCAGAAGGGCTGGATACGCTGCCGGGGAAAGCGCAGTCCCCGCGGCCGTTACTCATAGCCACGCTGAAATAAATAAATGAAATAAAAAGGCCCATGATTTRGCAGTTTCATTTCTGAGGTCATAAAAAGAATTCTGAGGAATACCCACTTATTAATAAAGCTCCTATACGGTATAAATTTTTAACACGGACTTAACGGCACACAATTCGCCTTGAATAAACAGAGGGACTTTCCACAAAAAGCCAGGAAACGTTTGAATAATAATAATAAAAAAAAGTTCTTTTGCGATAATAAGCACATTTGTGCTGCAATTAGGTGATGTGGGAAAGGAGGAGGGTCGAAGCGTGAGGAAGCAGAGACCTCAGGCAATGTGTGCAGGGAAGGATGCGCTTAGGTCTGCAAATTCCCAAACGCCTCCTTCCTCCGGCACGCGGCATCCCGGGTCCCGCTCCCAAACTCCAGCAAACGGGGGGAATTCTGAGAGATTTTTCTGTAATATTCAACGCGAAATAGCATCGTTGGGGCCAGTCTGCACAGCAGGCGAGGCTTGAAGGCTGCTCCAACGCTCACTCGTCTCTCCCGGGCTATAACGCCCAGCAGAGGCAGCAATGCTTTTAAATCAAAGCAATGTTTTTAAATCAATTCACTTAAATTACCGCAGGTTTAACAGGAAAATTATCAGTGCAGCTCGGCTGCCTGCATGACACCAAGCACCCCGTAACGTCCTGCCCCAAACCTGCAGCTGGCAGCCCGCTCTGCCACCGGATTTTCAGTATAAACAGCCCCAGAACATGCATCTCCCCCCTTAATACAGCAATATAACAGAGCAGACAGGCAATAGCATCAAAGATTAAGTAGCTCCCGTTACTGGAGTTTACCAGAATATAAGTTGCTGCTTTACAAACTTGCCCAGGAGGGAGGAAATGCCATTTTCTTATCCCGACTTCTGCTGCGTAAATAGTCACCGCRCACTCAGCCACCAGACCGACCTTTAAAAAAGCCTCTCCTCCCGGCATCTGAGGCTATAAATTTCCCTTGCTTTTATTAAACATTATTCTACTTTCTGTGCTTGTTAAAGAAAAACCTTTGGAACAAGGGACCCCATGTAAAACAGCTGGAAGTTAAGTTCTAGGGGATCCTTCTTGGTCCAGGCTTTACAATACGTTTCCCTGAGCGCCAGGAAACACAGGGATCATCCAGAAGGCTGCTGACCTCGAGCCCGGCACGGGCAGCCCACGTGGCAGGGGATCCTCAGCGCTCATCACACACACACAACCCTGTGCTCCAGAGGAACAGGATCAATCTCATGTGCTCCAAAATACACACAGCAAAGCAGAAACMGCTCCCATATGCCCTGCAGAGGCTCGCGTGAAGTTGTTGTTTAACGTTTGGAGATGAGGATAATTAGGAACACAAGACAAAGAGCATTTCTCAACCGTTTTCCGGGCCATCCAAAGGGCATCAATGGGTCCGCGGAGCAGCCCAGGCTGGATTGCATGTGTTTGCCTTGGAAATGGGGAGTGTGGATGGGATAGGACTGCCCAACAAGCCCGGATTGCCACATGCCACGTCTCTACTTACCACCGTTACGCTGAATAATTTAATAACAGCATGGACGAAACCTTCCTGGATTTCTGCAGCYCCAATGGACATTGCTGCAGGACAGCCCCGCGTAGGGACATGACAAGGACAGGAGTGAGCAGGAAGGTAGCTGCTGGCATCAAGCACCATTCCTTGCTCCAAAATAAAGCGGGAGAAGTGCTTGAAACCACGGTTTCTGCAAGCGGAGCACGCTGCCTCCCAGCACCGATACTGCTTTCAAGAGTGGAAAGTAGCAAAAGCGGCAAAACTTGCACCTGGGTCGGCTTTGAAACAAGTGCTACCATTCAACTGAAGCTAAACCTTGCTCTGCAGGTTATTTAAATCAAGCATCCCTTTCTTCACGTCCTTTAGCCTTTCCTTCCTAAGAGGTTGGGGAGCTTTCTCCACCGCTATTTGCTTGCGAGCTGCACGCAGAACCCGGTCTCCTCAGCTTCTGCACATCGCAGCTTAAAAAAGGGSTTTTACAAAAATTACAGGGGAGCATTTTTATTACAATACCCACAACTATTCAAGTCAATTTAAAAAAAAAGCAGTCTTAAAATAATAATAAACAAACAGAACAGCGAGTGGTTTCCCAGCGATGACACCTGTGCGTAGCTACACCTTGCTTGCCCAGAGCGATCACCACCAACTCCAGGAACCCGAGGCCAGAATTAAATCTAAATCCCGACATATCTGGAGTACTGAAGCAGGCAGCTGGGTCCTGCAAGGATTGCGTTTCGGACTAAACTGCATCACTGCATTTGGTTTTGCCTGGTTTGGGTTTTGCCTGTTCAAAGCAGCACAAAACTGAGGATTTGAGCAGGCTGAAGCTATTTGCCAATGGGGGATGCAGAAAGTTGCACTCCAAGCACCTAGATGTCGGCTTCTGTGCAAGCCTCCTTTGGATGCTCCCTTGCAAGAGCCCGGCTCAGTCCGTATTTTATTAGCAACTACATGGAAGACAAGAAAAAAACTTTTCCACTTACACATTTTTCTGAAGACATTCAGATACTCCAGCTCTGAAGTACCCAGAACAGAGCTGTTGGCAACATCATCAAGCCAGAAAAAAGCAATTCAGCGCAATGCAGGGACAATCCAACTTCTTTGTTAAAAAGCCAAAATAGCTGAAAATGAACAGAAAGTGGCTAAAGACCAAGAATTTTTGAAAGGACATAAGACAGTCATTGGGGKGGACAGAAAGAAAGAAGAGTCTGACTAAGGTTAGGTTAAAGTAATCAGCATATCAGTAGCTGAAGTAATATCTAAAGTTGATGAACAAATAATGAATTTAAGAGAAGTCCAAAATATCAGTARTTGAAATCAAAACTGAGGGACAAAGACTAAGAGTCGAGAAAGAGCCTAACATCCTAAAACAGTAAGGGAAAGACTGTGAGTATGAGAGGTGCTAGAGAAGAGTAAGGAGACARGAAAACTCACTCTCTGGAGGTCTCCTGAGAAGCCTGCTGGCTCRCACCAAGAGCTACTGCAAGACCAAAGACAACCTCCATGAAGGAAGGACAAGAAGGGGGCAGAAAAATAGAATATTTGCCCAAGCTTGATGCGACAAGAGTGAGAAGCTGGGAGAAGACACTTCTCGGGCCATCAACCTGCCAGAAATCTCCTCTGGAAGTCCTTGTCCAGTCTGTCCTTGAAATCATGGGAAATTTCACATGTAATGTCCTTCAACAAGCAGTTTCCCAGGTCCATCGCTTTGTGAAATACTGGAATAGAGAAGGGGCAGCGAGGCCCCACCAAACCCTCCAAGGCCTCTCCTGAAGATGCACATTGCAACTTGGGCAAGGAGGGAGAAGGGTGAGAAATAGCAAGAGAAACACCAAGACGGAGCTTGGGGCAGAGAAGATCCCAGGAGAAGTGAGTGCTGCTGTCCTGGCTCTGCTGTGTGGTAAAGAACGGGCTGCATTAGAGCAGGAGAAATATATAGATGAAGAGAGAGCAGGGGCAGTGTGGAAATACCTACCAGAGGAGACAAGCAGGAGACTTTCTCAGCACTGGTCTCCCTAAGAAGGCATAGAAATGGGGCTGGATTTGCACATCTGTACTCTCCCGCTTCCCAGGGTTCCTTTGGAATCAGCACATGGGGCTCCTAGGTGTACATTCAGATATTTCTATCTCAAGTAAATTCAGATATTTCTATTATTCTATGATCACCACCCCTGGAAACACACAGACAAAACATAAGGAGCAGGAACCTCGCCAGATGTTACCCAAAGGGAAGCTGCAGCTTCCCCACCAGGACACCAACATCACAGCCCTGGCAGGGTCAGAGAGAYGAACTTGATTTAACACCACGACTACTAGGGGAGAGCAGGCATCTTTGTCAGGTCACAGACCGGCATCTGTTCAGACCTCCCTTAAACAACATAAAGGGTCAGTTTGTTTTCTTGAAATACGAGAAAGAGATTGAGAAGACAGTCAAGCAGCAGATATACCGTAAATTAAATCAATTAATAGAAATCCTCAAGACAGAATGTTTTATAGAAAGGATTTCCTATAATCAAGGAACATGAACTTGCCTTTGCCTCTAGCCTCAGGATTTTACACTCTGTGAAAGGTTACGGCCAAAGTCCTTCCCATAAATCAACAAGTCCCACCAGTTGATCACTATGGAAGGAAGCACTTCACTGCTCAAGAAATGCAATATTTCATTACCAACAAATCTGAATTTCATCAGAGCAGCAAAGCTCTCCCAAAGCCGGCACAACCAACGCTCTCCAGCTGTAATACGGAAACCTGTTTTGAAATTCAAAACTGGAATATTCAAGAAGAGYAGAAGAAAGCAAATCCACTTTAATACGTGCATGGCTATGTCCAATTAATCAGGTTCATCTTTTACAGAAACGAACTGCCAAACACAAACAWGCCGCAATAAAGGCGCACATAGTATTTGAAAATTAGTTCACGATGAAAAAGTAATTAGGTTAATGCATGTATTTCCATTTCATGGCTGTGAACCAGGGAAACCAGTACTGATGTGGCTGGCTCTCCCAGGGTTCACCAGGCACAGGACCAAAAATGGGTGGAAATCACAATCCACACACCTGGCCAGGGAATGGGGGATCCATGGCAAAGCAGAGGTGAGGAAGAGGAGAGCAAACATATATTATTGCTTTTCCATGGTATTTTCATATATATGT